TGTACTGAACGCTTTCACTGATTTTACATAAGTTAACGACAGCTCGCCGAAGTGTATGCCAAGAACATTTCATTTTCCACTTTTGTACGCATCCTAATCGCCTTCAGCCTACGGTGCTATTAGAAGTGCATTTGCGCAATAGATATACAAAAAGAATTCACAGTAAAAAATGTTCTCACGTTTCGTCCGGCCCAAGTTACTTGCCACACTAAAAGCTTCACTTTTGTGAAGTTTTCAGCTTTTAGATCTCGCACTGAGTTAACTACGACGTCGTCAGTGCAGGTTCAGGCATTCACCTTCACCTTTGTCAAGGCAGAGCCATTTACTAGTAAGGGTTACTAGTAAAAGTTGGATTATATGTAATGTGTTTTTCTCAGATAGTTTCCCCCAAGGATAAATTCTTCAAATGGCGCGAACTGGTCAAACACTGTGTGTCAGTGAAACCCGCTTCGGCAAAGGAACCGTCTTTAGACAAGTCGCTTCGTCGAAACGTTGAACGTGCACACACATCTGTACCTACGTTCCCTTAGACGCGAATGTAGCGTACGTTTTCTTTTTTATTCCGCGAGACATGTTCACAGGTGTACGACTCGAGGTCTGCGCGGTACGAAGTGCCCCTGCCTAACGTACCACAGAAGGACCACTACTTTCCTGTGATGTACGAGACCTCGGTTAACCCGGCCGGAGACCTCGAGATCATCCGGCCCGCGTCTAGGAAAGTTGTGTACGTAGCACACTTGCAGCTGTGACACTACGTCGATTCGAAGCAATCGCTGTACTGGCAAGCTACGTTGCTTGTGGGCAAGAGCACGAAAAAGAGGCTTGATGTAGGCTTCGTCTCTTGACAATCCTCACTTAGTGTGCTTCAAGATAGACGTTAGAAAGATATGACTTCGTGTACTTATAGTAACAAATACTATTATCTCGTATTCGGATACAGGGTAACGCAACTTCCTTCTCACCGCTAGGTGCAACGTTCCGTAATCACACAAATTACCATTATAAGCAACGTGTTCGCTAAGCGTTCCGTTGTATAAAGCTAAAACACGTGGTAGTGTACGTTTTGTTCTAAAAAACTTGAACACAAGACAGTTAATGTTATTCGTTTATACCTACAGATATTCAGTTTTAAAGACTTACTGTTCAATGTACAGGCGTTCTAACAGTAACCCAAATGGACCTAGGGAGTGCGCGGTAGGCTTGCGGCATCCTAAACGATTGCAGCACGTTGGGACATGTAATGAGGACAGGGGTTCTCTTATTGGGAAGCGCATTGTAGAGGATGTAGCTATAACCTCTCTAGCAGTCATCATACTGCTTTTGTCAAGCTTGAGTACAATTCCGTGAAGTGGTCGTAATTGCTCTGTATCAGAGAATATGAGGAATATAAGCCGGATATGAACACGGAAGTGGTTCTGCAGATTCCACACAAACCTGTCAACACTGGTGTTCGCGGACCAGTTTCTTCAGATGTCCACATACATTCCGTCACGTTACGTTTACGGGGTCGGAGATGTGAAGTCACCGCTGCTGCGAAGTACGGACTGGCAGAAGATCACCCTTTTCAACGCCGGGAGGTCGCCCATGGTGAGATTTTGTTGTTTTTCGCCTTGGTCACAGTGCGCTGACTACCGTGAATTTTAGGCCATATGTTGAGATGGCACACCAGACTGCTAGAGAGGTTAGTTATAAAGCGATTGTTATTGTGACTATAATACAAGGTGATACGGTTCTGACTAGTAGGCTGTTAGCACTGGAATCCATGCGCGATCTCTACTAGTTCTGACTAGTAGAGATCGCATTGTGGTACCAGTGCGGTATGTTTCCTCATTCTAAGGAGCGCAGTACCAAAAGTTTTGGTCGTCGCCTCATGCTCGAGAGTGAAGTGACGTGAGCAAAAGCGTCAGATATGACGCCATACTCACACTGTCAAACTTGAATGAAATGGAAAGGTTTTGCATGTTGTACAAGTGTCACTATTTTCCCAATCTCAGTACTTGGCTCGTGTCACTGGGGGGGGGGGGGTAACCCACGCCGTGCCACCTCGCTGTTCTGGCAATCTTGCCAGTACCCTACTGTCAAACGCAGATATCTGCAGTGACTTGCTTCTCTAGCAATGACGCGATAATTACACTGCTATATTGGTCATTGTCACGTTGCAAAGTGAACATAAGCTGGGCCATGTCACACTAACCACTTTTCGCAAGATGTTTCTCTACAATTGCTATATTTTTTTCATCAATGCAAATGATCGCCATGGTGTTCAAGTGGCTAAGGCGTCGGCTGCCGACCCGCAAGTTGCGGGGTCGAGTCCCTGTCACGGCACACGCATTTTCCATGGAGGCTGAATTGTTTCAGGCCGGTATGCTTGTAGATTTTGGTGCGCGTTAAGAAAACCCAGATGGTCGAAATTTTCGGACTGCTCGATTACGGGCGTCTCTCATATTGCCACCATACTTCTAGTAGTGGTTCGTATGCCAAGGTGAAGGCTCACACACAGAGAAGAAAGAAGTGCGCGTGCCTCCCCCCCCCCCCCCCCCCGCTGCTCTGGCAAACAAGCCCAACCGACGCAGCTTGGTTAGAGCCCTGTTGCTCAGACGTCAATAAACCTTGTCGACACCCCCTGGAGTGACGTGACAATTGGTGGAGGTGCTGGGTAGCTCCTAACGGATGTTTCAGACCCCTCCTTGAAGCGGCACCACAAGCCCAGTGCGAGTCAACACTCCCGTTCATCAGACAAGCCAGGCAAGGATCAGGGGATTGCCACCTGAAGCTGACCCTACAGTTGACCCCAGTATGATGAGCACGTCCATTCAAACCACTTTAAACAGGTACGAAAAACCCCCCGGTGACTCGGTACACCCCCGAAAGTCACCAGTTTCCGACACCGTTTCATGGCACCGAGCTCGAGACGTCGAGGACTGGTTGGTCGACTTCGAACGCGTGGCTGCTTTGAACGACTGGAATGACGCGAGCCAAACTACGGCGTGTGTATTTCTATTTGGAGGATGGAGCACGTACCTGGTACATGAATCACGAGGAACAGATGACATCGTGGCCCGAATTCCGCCGCCGGCGTTGGATACTTACAGAAGTGCGGATCGCCACCGAACGAGCGGAGCGTAGCGATCCAGGCCCGCATCCAGATGCCCAATGAACTGTCATGACCTATGTGGAAGATATGACGCGCCTGTTCCGACGGGCGGATCTGAGTATGACAGAAGAAAAGAAGTTGCGTCACCTGATGCGGGGAGTTAAGGAGCAGCTTTTCGCTGGCCTTAGTACGGAGCCCTCCGAAACACCGTCGCCGAGTTTTTTTTCCGAAGCCGTCACAATGAAAAAGATACTTCAGCATCGATCCACACTGTATGAACGGCAAGTGAACACGCGTCCACGGCTCAAGTTCTCACGACCTTTGGGAGCAACACCGAGTGTCTGCGCGACCTTATCCCGCTCTATAGTACGCGAGGAGCTGCAAAAGGCTGCGACACCACCACTACCTACGGTGAGTTCCATTGCAAGCATCGTCAAGGACGAGCTGCATCATGCCCTTCGTGACCCTGTGAGTCTGGATAACGCACACCCGCCCCGGCTGACTACACCGTGCGACCTATGCGGAAGCCTTGAAGCGCCCAGCTTCCTCTTCCCGCTGTTTGCTCAAACACCTCCTACGGTTTCACTTCAGTCGGCGCAGCCTGCTACGGTACTACGAGAACACACGCACGCCCCCGCCCCTCGTTTACGCCAGCCCTGTGCATCTTGCGGAACAACCATACACTACGTTGACGACAGACGTGCTTCGCCTCTGAAATCTGATGTTTGGCGCACTCATGATCGCCGACCTTTGTGCTTCCACTGAGGTGAAGCGGACCATTTGTACCGCCACTGTCCATACCGCCGCCTCGGGCTGCGCGGCTTTTCAGTATATTCAGCGCCTACACGGTATGGCCAGCGACCCCGGGACATTGAGGACTACCTGGCTCAACAGCGCATGCTACCGCCTTCTGGACGGCACCCGCGATCACCGTCGCCGAGGCGCTTTTTCAACTTCGCCACAGCGCCATGCTGGCGCACGGTCCCCCAGTCCCCGCCGGGAAAACTAACCGCAAGCGACCCTTGGAGGCGAGGTCGCTGGCAGTCGACGTGCTGAAGACCTCCGACCGACGCTAACAGTAAAGCGTGTAGGTTCGACTGAGCGATATGTGCGGCTTTCTCTGGATATACCAATGCTGATAGACGGCTATGCAGTCGGTGCTTTAGTTGATACCGGGGCTAACTATTCGATACTAAGCGGGAAAACGACCAGACTACTAAAGAAAGTAATCACGCCCTGGCATGGCTCCGTGATTCGAACGGCTGGTGGCCACACCGTCTCTCCGCTGGAACCTGCCCGAGTAGAGTGCGGGTCTGTGGTTATACTTTTGTAGAAAGTTTCCTTGTGCTCCGTGAATGTTCACGCGACATTATTCTTGGTGTTGACTTCCTGCAGGAGTATGGAGCTGTCAATTGATCTTCAAGGGAATCGCATCACCTTCTCAGCCGACCGTGCAAACGACAAGCAGGACGACCAACAACGTGCCCGACGTTTCTTCGTGTTCTGCTGAAAGTATAACGCTTCCTCCAAGAGCCAGTGTTATTGTCGACGGTCACATGCTGTGGATTGCGAAATTGTGAAGCGATTGCAGAAAGTAATTTTGAACACCTGCTGACTCAAGGTGTTTGTGTGGCTAGGAGTATCATACAGTTACGCGATGGCCGATCTCAACTGCTCGTTACAAATTTCAGCAACGAACACCGACACATTTTCCGTGGCACGTCGTTAGCGTTTGCAGATGAATTAGGAACCGTTCCCATCTGCTTCCCGTCGGACACAGTGAGGCCGCCGATACGTCTCTAAACAATATCCATAATAATTCTAACCTCACACTAGGAAACCAGACAGCACTGCGAAAACTCTTGCTTGAATTCAAGTCATGCTTCACTGCTTCCTCTAAGGTGCGCCAGACTTCATCACTAGGCACAGAATCGTCACTTACGACGACGTCTGCCCAGTACACCACAGCCTTACCGTGTGTCAGCGAAGGAACGAGAAGCCGTTCGTACTCAAGTTCGAGAAATGCTTGATGACGGCATCATCGAGCCTTCCAACAGCGCGTGTTCTCTCCGGTCGTCCTAGTCAAGAAGAAGACGGAACGCTACGTTTTGCGTCGATTACCGGAAGCTCAACAGCGTGACTAAAGAGGACGTGTACCCGCTGCCACGCATCGACGACTCATTAGACAGATTACGCCGCGCTCACTATTTTTTCTCTTTGGATTTAAAAGCGGGTACTGGCAGATTGAGATTGATGAGCGAGACCGCGAGAAAACGGCTTTGTTACCCCTGATGGCCTGTATGAATTTCGAGTCCATCCTTTTGGTTTGTGCTCAGCGCCCGCAACCTTCCAGCGAATGATGAACACTGTGCTTACTGGTATCAAGTGGCAAACTTGTCTCGTATACCTTGATGATGTTGTCGTTTTTTCTGAAACCTTCCAGCAACACCTGACCACCTCAGGAGTGTGCTACAGGCTACTCAATCAGCAGATCTTACACTCAAACCGCAGAAGTGTCACTTTGGTATGAAGAGCTCAAATTCCTTGGCCATGTAGTCAATGCGAAGAAGTCCGACCCGACCCCGACAACCTGCCGCTGTAGGCCGCGTTTCCGCATCCTACAGAGAAAAAGACTGTTCGGCGCTTTCTGGGCTTGTGCGCCTACTATCGACGATTTATTAGAGGGTTTTGGAAGATAGCGGAACCCTTGACTTGCCTTGCACGCGACGACCACACCGTTTGTATGGGCTACCGAACAACAGGCTGCTTTTGCCGAGCTACGACAGCGGATGCAGTCAGCCCCTGTTCTTGCGCACTTTGACGATGATGCTGACACAGAGGTGCACACTGACGCCAGTAACATCGGCCTCGGCGCAGTGCTCGTCCCGCATCAACACGGCAAAGAACGAGTCATAGCCTATGCCAGCCGCTCACTGTCCCGTACCGAGGTGAATTACACGACCACAGAGAAAGAGTGTCTCGCAGTAGTGTGGGTGATCACCAAGTTTCGCCCGTACCTCTATGGTCGTCCATTTAAAGTGGTGACGGACCACCATGCCCTCTGCTGGTTGGTAACATTCGTGATCCCTCTGGACGACTGGCCCGATGGAGCTTGCGTCTACAGGAATTTGATGTTACCATCGTATATAAGTCTGGACGGAAGCATGAAGACGCTGATACGCTATCGCGTGCACCGATACCTTTAGTCAATCACGACGAAGAGGACGATGACGGTTTCCTGGGCGCCCTTAGCTCATCTGACTGAGCAGTCGCCAGCGAGAAGATGAAGAGATTCGACCGCTCGTCGACTATCTGGAGGGTCACAGCGCCGTTATACCTCTCCATCTATCTCGCGTCGTGACGTCTTTCTGCCTCCGAGATAATGTCCTGTACAAAAAAAAAACGCCCGTTCTACGAGCCACGCTTACCTCCTCGTCGTTCCGAAAGACATGCGGGACGAAGTTTTCTCCCCGTCTCATGACAAGCCCACATCTGGTCATCTAGGTTACTCGCGAACGCTCGCCAGAGTAAGTGAGGCGTACTACTGGCCCGGACTTTCGGCAAGCGTGAAGCAGTACGTCAAAAGCTGTCGTGAATGCCAGCGTCGAAAGTCGCTACCAAGCAAGCCGGCTTGATTATTTCAGCCAATTGATCCACCCCACAAGCAATTTGACCAAGTCGGCATGGACATTCTCGGCCCATTTCCTTTATCGTCCGACGGCAACAAATGGGTCATTGTTGGAACTGACTATTGACCCGCTATGCTGAGACACAGGCGATACCACGAGCCACGGCTTCTGAGGTAGCACAGGTCTTCATGTGCCACATTGTTCTGCGCCACGGTGCTCCATCTACAGTGATAACCGACAGAGGAACAGCGTTCACTGCACAGCTTATTGATGAGTTTTTCGACTGAGTAATACTAGGCATCGAACGACAACTGCTTACCATCCGCAGAGCAAGGGCTTAACCGAGCGACTAAATAGAAAGTCACAAACATGATCTCCATGTACATCGACGTCCAACACAAAACATGGGATCGCATTTTGCCTTATGAGACGTTTGCTTATAACACCGCCGTTCAAGAAAACAACCCGATTTACACTGTTTCGCCTTCTCTACGGCCGCGAAGTTCAGACGATGCTGGATGCGATGCTTCCTTGTGAAGGCGCTGATCAATTAACAACTGACGCAGAAGAATTTGCAGAGCGTGCCGAGGAAACTCGCCAGCTCGCCCGGCTACACATTGGTCAGCAGAAACAGGTCGATGCACGACGTTACAATATTGCGTTACAATGACGTATCTTACAGTCCGGGAGACCAAGTTTGGGTTTGGACCCCTGTTCGAACGCCGTGGCCTCTCCGAAAAGTTGCTCAGCAGATACTTCGGTCCGTATAAAGTATTACGGCCGCGTGAGCGACGTAAACTACGAAGTGGTTCGGGACGCTGCGTCATCACGATGGGTACAACGAAAACAACCGACCTCTGACATGGTTCACGTGGTGTGCATGAAGCCTTATTTTGCGCGTTCCTAAAAGACAACTTTTCCTGTGTTTTTTTTATTTGTGCTCCGACAATTGCCTCATTATTGGTGAACTTATCGCGTCCAACATTTGATTACTGATGCCCTTTTTCATTGTTTAGGCTACCTTGTTTTGTTTTGTTTTCAATAACTTTACAGCTGTTTCTTTTTTGCTCTTTTTTGTTGAGGAGGAATATTGCCACCTACTTCTAGTAGTGGGTCGTATGCCAAGGTGAAGGCTCACACCACAGAGAAGAAAGAAGTGCGCGTGCCCCCCCCCCCCCTCCTCCCCGCTGCTCTGGCAAACAAGCCCAACCGACGCGCTTGGTTAGAGCCCTGTTGCTCAGACGTCAATAAACCTTGTCGACACCCCCTGGAGCAACGTGACAATACAATATCGTGGTTTGGGACGTTAACCTGCACAATATTATACTTTAATATTACGCATGCAAATGAAAACCTCTTTGTGTTCGCAGGAGGGCAAGAACTTGTACAGCAGCCACCCGTTTATGCTGGTTCACGAGGAAACGGGTGAGAGCTGTGGAATCTTTCTGCTCAACAGCAACGCCATGGGTAAGTCGCATGTTGACTGCTTAGGAAGACGCATCGTGCCATCGGCCAAATACATACTTTATCGCAAGTGAATTATCAACAAATGCATTCGATCGATGTCGAACGGTCGAGTTTCATAACACGGTAATAATTCGTGGAATAATAAATGAATTGGTTATTACAGTAAGAAGATCTTAACAATAAGTGTGCCTCTGCGGTACATGCATGGCTGTTTGAAGGCCCTGAGTGCTAACGTTGAAAAGTATAAGCTGATGCTTAAGTACGCTTGCTTTTGCTCTTCGAAGCAAACGTAACGAAATGGGGTAAGTATTCTTAATACTTAATTGATTTTCTGCAGCTGGTAGATTCGAATTTTATTTCAGTGCACCAAATAAATAAATAAATAAATAAATATATATATATATATATATATATATATATATATATATATTATATATATATATATATATATAGCATAGAGCTAAACAAAAATAATTTTTGCCGTTTTCTAGAACTCTTTAAACCCAGTTTTCAAAGTTCTACTTGACGCGGCGCCCTTTTGTCAACATCATGTTCAAGCCGAGCTCCTTGGGTAATCTTTTTCGGTACACGCTGCGAAGTGATGCTTTAAGTAGGAAGTAGCCTTTCTATATAAATTGCTGAGATATAAAGTCCATTTTTCGTTTTGTTTTTTCAGACCATTACTCTAAATGACAGGCCTCCTCTTGACAACAATGCAGTGTTTGCGTCTTGCAGAGGTCCCCCCTCTCACAAATCTCCTTGGAACTGTTTTCGTGGTAGACGGCAAAGTCATAGCCGAAGTGAGAAAGAGAATGAATGTATAGAGTCCGGTAACTTAAACTTCTGTCAATGTTCATCAAACAAAACAATACCCTGTCTGCAACACCGCTGATGAGAGGAATCTTGTCCGGCATCGTCTTTCTCCTTTCCTGTCATCAACAAAATGCTCCTGCAACGTTTTAATTTTTGAGGTGACAGGAGCCCTCTGTAAGACAGGAAGTTTGCATTTTCGATCTGACAGGAGTCCCCGGTAGGGTACTGGACAACCGGAAGTAACTTCTCAATCTTTTCGTCTCGCAGACATCCTGCTCAAGCCGAGCCCCTCGGTGACTTTTCCGCACGACCGGTGGGATTCTGGACGTGTTCGTGTTTCTGGGTCCCACGCCGTCCGAAGTTGTGCAGCAGTACACGGCCCTGGTGGGTCGGCCCGCCATGCCTCCGTACTGGGCACTGGGTTTCCACCTAAGCCGCTGGGGCTACGCCAACATCGACGAGGTCAAGGAGACGAGACGCCGCAACCTACGAGTTGGCATCCCCGTCGAGGCCGTGTGGTTAGACGCTGAATACATGGAGGGTCTACGACCGTTCACATACGATAAGGTCCGCTTCGCCGGGCTCCCCGAGTTTGCTCAGGACCTGCACAAGCGAGATATGAAGTTTGTCCTCACGCTGGTTAGTATCTCAATCCACGTTTCTGTGGGCCTGGGTGAGCTTCACGTGGACACTGAGTGATAGAAATGTATTTAGCGAGAAACGGCATTGTAAGTACAGTATTAAGGGCACTTTTATTTCTTTCCCATGACGACCATGTTTCATAGCTGAAGAAACTTAACGTCTATCGCTCAGTGTGGGCTTATATTGGGCGTTGAACGTGCGTGATTGAGGGTTTCACTTTTATACATACGGCGAGGAAGCGATTTGCCTCTTATTGAAGAAGAGAAGCGTTTGTTAGACGACATGAACTTGAACATGCATCATCAAGAAAGCCGTACCAGACAGGTTCGTTTTGACCCTACTTTCGTTTTCCTGTCTGTTCTCATTTCTTTCATTACCCAGTACTTCCATAAATGTGCAACAAAGCTTCGTTTTTTTTTAATTTTTTTACCAAAAGGATACTTCAAGGACGTCATTGTGACTACACAGACCTTAACGTTACACCGTGGTGTAGGTTCTCGGAGCAGTTTGGGCACATGATTTGTAGAAGGTTAGTTTTAATGCATAGTTTCTTCATTTTTGTGGAGCAATAGCTTTCATAGCAGCATGAGATAGCTAAATAAGTTAGCCTCGTACATTAACAATAAAAAAGAAAATACGTGTCTTTCTCCGCCAGCATCCCGGAATAGACGCGAACATGGAGAGTGGCTCGTACCTTCCCTTCGACGAGGGCCACAAGGCAGCCGTGTTCGTGAGATCGGAAGCCGGTGATTACAACTACGGCATGGTAAGCTATTAGACAAGTGATAGCACGCTCTGCTAACCTGCGGTGGTTACAGCTAAATATTGTGACTAAGCTCAATATGCGCTCTACATTTGGGTGTTTCATACTAATTGGAGGTTTCAGGAGTTTGATAACTGTGTATTGCATGTGATCTAGCAATAACATTTTGATTTCTTGCCTCGTTATAAAGCAGCAATCTATGGGTCAGCTCCAGTGCGCTTTCGTAGCTGACGTTGATGGAAGAGATCATGCAACAATTGGTAGTGCTTTCCCTTGCAGATGAGCAGCATCGAAGGCGTTGCAGAGTGGTAAAGCAGCACGCCGCGTGTTAAAGTATCAAGGCTTAGTTCATGAATATTGAGGTGTCTCCTGGGTAGCGTCTCCTGGGCATCTTGGGCATTGGCCCAGCCGGATATATACTTTCGAAGTGTGCCAGAATATGCTTAAGCAGCTTCGCAAGGTTTCTCACCGAGCCATCTGGTAATTCATATTAAGATCAACAGTACGAAACTAGTACGATGGAGAACAATAATACAGTTACTTCCAATCAACAAATTTAAAGAACGCTAATAAGTGTGCGTTCATTCGAGCAGGACAAAAAATTTAAACAATAACACTTGCCTTCAGCGCATATCCACTCGCTTTACTGAATCAAAATTTTATTTCATTTGCGATCAATACATTTGATGCAGTTGGGAAGTCTGCAATTGTTGCGTCTCTTATTGTTTGCCCCTGTAATATTTTGACGCAGCTAGTATAGTCTCGTATACAGAGTGTACGGAGTGTTTGGACGTTTTTTTTTTGTAGTGATGCGTGCTAAATTCTGTTGTCAGCATTTATTCGTTGATTTTATGTGTGTAGTCACTGTTGTTTGTTTCTTATGTTTTATTGTTGGTTATTCATCTCGTATTCATATGTGCTTTTGAATTTTTCTTTTTTGTGCGAACGTTATGTACATTGTGACACTCTCCCTGTAATGACCCCAAGCACGTGGTCGACAGTATCAAATAAATAAAATAAAAAATAAAATAAATATATCGTACACGAGAGTTCTCGAGCATATATGCGAAACATTTGCCTTGTCAGTGGTGACACACACACACACTCACAAAATGCATTGCAGCTGTGCTTGAAGATGCTTCTGCAATGTCCGAAACGCATGAAATCACTCTCTTACCATGCTGTAAACACGAATGAAAATCTGTCGAACGCTCAGGTGGGCAATCGGAGTCGACTCGTGTATCCAGACTTCACGCATCCGGCGAGCGGCGAGTATTGGACAAAGATGCTGTCCTACTTCCACGAAGTGGTGCCGTTCGATGGACTATGGCTGGTAAAGACCCTATGCGCTTCTCCGTTTTCGCTTGGCATTTTTTTAAAGAAGGTTATGAAGAACGAGCTTCGTCACGTGATTAAGGGTAAATTTATAGCAAACCTAAGCAGCCTAATTTAATACTCAGTGTATGTGCGAAACGACACTCGACTAATGTGGAGGGGTTACTGGGTAATTGAACGCATATTGAGAGAATTAAAGCATGATCAACTTACTTAGTTTATACTTAGGTATAAATTATTAAATGAGGTATAATTAGGTATATTTAGGTGTTAGGTATAGGTATTGGGCATAGATACCTGACCTAATTAGGTGAATAGGTATTGGGTATTATTAGGTATTGAGAATATGTAATTAGGTATAATTAGGCATTAGGTATAATTACGTATAAATTAAGAATATGAAGAAAGTGTATTGCGAAGAAAAGATTATGTAACGCTACACCAGAAATACTGAGTCGGGTTGGCCTTGACTGCATTCAGTTGGGTTTGGCCGGCTCGCCCTTTGCATGAAAATGGCGCCGAGTTTTGTTGTCTACAGACGTTGAAACAGTTAGTACATCCTTCCTACCCACTTTAATTGACATTGCAAGACAGTGGTAACATTGATCTTAGGGAGCATTGGAACTTCGGGAGGCTTACGCAGAGGATTTTACCTCATGTCAGGGACGTGGCTTTTGAACGCCATGCTGTGTGCTCGGCTATACTGCGGTTTTAGGACCTGAACGAGCCTTCAAGCCTGTACAACGGCTCCGAGCGCGGATGCCCAGCTTCGACGCTCGAAGAACCACCGTACTTACCCGGGGAGGGACACGAGGCGCTACGCACCAAGACGCTGTGCATGACAGGTCGCCACTACCTGTCCAGGCACTACAACCTGCACAACCTGTATGGACTGATGGAGGCGCTGCGCACATACGAGTGAGCCAAGTGCTTTTGAATCACTGTGTACTTGTAGATTTTTAGGAGCGAAGCTCTTTAAGGCATGGGCTGTGCGTCCCCCGTATGTAGCCACCTGTCGTTTAGTTCTTGCAGTGTTCACTAGATGGCGGTACTTGTAGCTGATGATGAAAAGATGCAAGATGTTATAAACTAGACGGCGGTACTTGTAGTTGATGATGAAAGATGCGAGATGTTATAAAATAGGTATGATGTCACATATGGCGCGTGTCATTGGTGGAATGCCATCATTCGATTTTGTGCGGCGACGTACGCTAGGGGGAGTGTTGTTATAAAATCGAGTGGGCAAAATGTACGGAGGATTCATGGTTTACCAGGGTTACCTCCGGAGCTTCGCCCACTCATCATCATTCATTTCGTGAATGCGGTGGCATTTTTTTGTCCATGTCTTAACTTAGTCTTTGTGGTCTTGTCGGGCCATTGTCTTTGCATCGGAAATTTGGACCTATTAATATAACATTTACACGGATTGCAAATGAGTTCTGTGGAAAACCGCAAGGTGGCGGAAGGCGGTTAAGAAAGGGAAGGAAGAGAACCACTCGTTTTTAGCACGAAGCCACAAGGAAGTCTGTACAGATTTCTCAGAAAGAAAAGGCTCCTAGTTGCCGAAAAACTTGTCCTGGTCCGGGGTTTGAATCCGGGACCAACGCCGGTCCGGGGCAGTCGCTCTGCCAATTGAGCTAACCCAAAAGCTAGCAGTTGACAGCGCGAGGGAAAATGCACCCGAACTGAGAAATCCGTACAGAGTTCTTTGTGGCTTCGTGCTACGAACGGGCGGCTGTACTTTTAAAGACGATACTCTTTCTTGGGTACCTTCGATGAAATAGTTTTGATCTGTCTATCTGTAAATTTGTCTGTTTGTTCACACTTAACGATACCTCAAACTGCCGACCCCATCCGCAGCGCCCACCAATATTGCTCAAGGTTTAACGTTAATAGTTGTGCGATTGTGAATTAAAATTCAAAAATACTGCAGCGTTTATCGCGCTGCACTGACAGTGCAACGCGATGCTCAGAAGGGTAAGCGTTTCCAATGCTTTGCTACGACGGCACGGTGGGGGCACCTGCCCGCCGTTTTGCGTTCTACACCTTATCACCTCCAAGACAGGCGCGCATCTTTCTCCACAGGTGCGCACGCCTTCGTTTTCGAAGATAACTGCTAGATGACGCTCGTGTCTAACGTGCTTGGATGCGCTCGTTCGCCTCCACTACATGCTCGAGGCACTCTTACCCAGCGCCTCCAGAATACCGTTCACCGATTTTCTTGCTCAGAACATCAAATAAACGTTTTGTTCACTCTCTCCAGACGGAAGACTATCGTCTTTCGACGACATTTGCAGTGTAATATGCAGATTCAGGGCCATTTTTTTTATCTTTCTTAACATTTACATGAGCATTTCAGGGGCACATTATTTTTGCCGTCGTCGCGAGGCTCCGTATCAAGGCAAAGAGTGATAACATTGTCCTTGGCCCGCGCATTGTGTGGTAGAAACCTGAGGAAAAGTGTGCGAGGAGTATTCGATGCTCATGCGGAAAAAGATACACGTCGCGTGCGAGTCCCGTGATGGAGTGCCGGAGGTTCTGTGGGGATTCGTCGGAAAATGCGCACTTTAATGGGTACTGATCACACGCCTGAAAGCAGCGTTCATAGTTCTAGCGCATTCTTTGCGATGCGGTACAATAAGCTACGCATGGGAGGCGCATCGTACTGAAAACAACTCAATGGGTGGTTTCGAGAAATGCGTTAGAACCAAGGTATTGTACTTTAAGATTTCAGACTACAAACAAGTACTCGGGTGATTAAACATGTTTAATGAGTGATGCAAATGCAAATAACCGTAGACGGAGTAAAAAAATGTGAGCGTGAGAGGTATCTCGTTTGGTCGAAATTGTTTCCGACGCAAGTTCATTTTTTAAAGTTCTTAGGTACCATTAACTGAGAGGCCGTATAGATGCAAGCCTGTTGTACCGAAGACGATGTTGTGTCTACGACGTTTTGCATTTGATTCATTTTATAGCTTGTAAATTAGACGAGGCATATCATCTGCCACTGCTTTGTTTCAGGGGTCGCAGAAGAAATTAATTTCGTTCCTGTTGATTTTTCAGCTCCTTGCGCCAGATCCTGCTGCGGAGACCGTTCATCATTTCGCGGTCTACATTTTCGGGTCAGGGCCGTTACTCGGGCCACTGGAGCGGCGACATCGAGTCTGACTGGGATGCCATGCGATCTTCCCTTGCATGTACGTGAAAAAATACTGGCGTACAGCAGTGACGTAGTGCTGCACATACTGGCATATTTTGCTCATATTGATCGCTAGAGTGTGCGCAGTAATATGTCAAGGCATCTGTGCCAATTTTATACGAGGCTAATATTATGAAATGGGCATGTTCCCACAGGTCTATGCTCGATGAGATCTTCACATTTGTATATCTAATCGAGGTCCTATCGTTCTGGTGTGTTTTCGGTGGTATTTTTAACGTTCAAGAGACACTGGTAGGTACACTGTAAAGGGTCGGGAGTTTGATGATGGCATCCCATCGCTGCCATCATTTGTAAAGGGCTCGAGGTCAATAGCAGGTACGGCGGGCTTCTTCAAGGTAGCTGGCTCCCCACTGTCGTCCGCATAGTCTATTTTGAAAGTGAGGGGACGTGTTCATAAGAGAGATAAAACGAAGATGTATTTACATTATAATTGAAAGATGGAAACTGTACAGAGATTCAGAGGATTCTGCTATGTACAGAGGTTCAGTCCATAATCCAGCACTTCTTTACAAAATGCTTCGGCTTTTATAGCCCGTTGATTCTTTACACGGCAGTCCGAAGAAGGCGGTGACCAATGTTGCCGCCAATGAGGTGGCGTGATGTCTCAGTAATCCACCCACCAGAAAGGGTGCAGAAATGTGGCCACTCGTGAGAAGAAGAACGTGGGTGAGAATGCCCAATTGTCATCACGAGTGCACCACACAATGACGCACCCGGCCCACGCCTTGAAGGCACCGCAGGGTGAGGAGGTAGAGTCCGGACAAGGAAAGTTGAACTCCTTCGTAGAGATGGCCGCTCACACGAACGTCAGCAGTGGTCTATGGCTGCTTTCGGTTACGGGCTTTCACAGAACTCTCTCCAACATGGCAGTCCAGGTGCTCAATCTCTGAGAACTGCGACGGCGATGCCTTCATACACTTCCGGACTGTTGGTGCTTTTGTGACGATTTCGCGTCGGCGACGACAGCCGAGTCGAGAGGTTGACTCCATAAGAACTGCCATAGTGGCGCCGTCCACGCTGTTCGAGCCCGTTCACCTACAGGACAGCGTCTTGCTGACTGGGCGCCTATGGGGTTGAAAGCGTCTTAGCAGACCGGCTTACGCACAATGGCGTCTGCCCGGATGAACTGCCGGGCCCAACGCAACAACACGAAAAGAAAACAAACGCCCATGGAGACGCAATCATTAGTACAAGTAGTCGATAATGTGAATTGTTTAACTTCTTTGTCTCAATGCACATGTGCACGCAGATAGGGGAGCGCGCACATGGGCTCAGAATAGACGTCATACTGGGATAACATGCACCGAACTAGTTGATAATTAGCAAAAAAGAATCGTGAGTATGCGTTGGCAAGACAAACTGCATTGGTGATGACACTTCTACGGTTGTGGCACCGGGCATGTAAATAGTTTTCCGACTCGTGGCTGAGATTAAGGGAGTTTGTGTTTCAGGCTGTCATTGTTGTGTGACATATAAACTGTTTTACTAAAGCGATATACCGGTAATACACTAAATAGAAAGTGCTCTAGAGCAAACTGCTAAGTTTCCTTAATAGAACAATTATGCTCAAATAATTTGATCGCTGTTTTTGGGGTGTAGTCTTGAGTGCATATGCATTGGTGCATGCGCGCGTGAATGATGGAGTGTTAAGTTGCGCCTGGTTACTTCGTTGCGATTATTCATACACATCCTGAAACATTTCTTCGTTACAAAGTCTTCATTTAGCTCGATGAGAAATAGCTTAAGTTATAGAATGCCAAGTGAAGTGTCATTTTATCAGTTGCAAAAAGGTTCAAGCCGTTCTAAAGAGTGTCATAGTATGTGGTGTTTTTCTTCTTGGGTTTTTCGATCGATTGTGCGTTGTGCTATGCCAATAGAATCACGGGATGCACAACGCAAAGCTTAAAGAACAAATGGTGATTCGTATTGGAAACGTGTACGTTGTGCATGCAATGACGCGAGTACAGAAGTAAATTTCCGTGTTTTTCGTGTCCCTATGTGCGTGGGTGCGTGCCTAAACCTGAATAAGCTCTTCTCGAGTAACGTGCGTACTTAGCGAATTGACTTGAAAACAAAGGTTGTCTTATTTTCTGGGGGCGAACTCAGCGATGCTGACGTTCAACATTCTCGGCGTTCCCTTGACCGGTTCGGATATCTGTGGCTTCTGGGACAACACGACCAGCGAGCTTTGCAACCGTTGGCACGCTCTGGGCGCCTTCTACCCATTCGCAAGGAACCACAACGCCAAAGGGAACCTCGTGAGTGTACTTAACTGACGTTGTTAACTTCCTAAACAAGTGCTGCCGTAGAATATGGCTCTTAAGCCTGTGTTCCAATCCTCATCGTAGAAGGCTCGATATACACCAGGGAGGGCAACGGCCATATCAATTCTCATTTAGTTTTTTTTTTCTTGAAGCTGGCGAAATACACAGCTTAGCTAAGACAACAGAGAGGCAAAATGCAATGCAGGTTATTCAAGGAGGTCAAAAAATTATTTTCAAAACGCCCATAGCAACAAGCGATGCTACGACACATGTAGCAATAGAGAAATATATGCCGTATAAAATTGTAGGGCGAGTGAGGCAAGCACTTCGTTTTCTAAAGGTAACATCTCATCGTGCCCTTGTAAAGATGGCGGATGTCGGGCCTGAATTTCGGGACATAATTTCCTCTCCAGATATTAAACACCCATGATGCTAGTTTGCTGAGTAGACAAGGTTATTTTGAGCAGAATGCGGAAAGGCACGCCGGAAATGACCCCTGCTCGTAGGGAGATGTAGCGATTACTTCTTAGGGACTTCGTGTAAGCTACGTTGAATTTTTCACATTTCTCGGCATGGTAAAGTTGAAAACACCAGGCTTGGGCGAACCGCGTGGCGCATTCCCAGCGAAAACTGGAGGAGCGACCCGGCGTAAACTATCTTGGAGCGACTACTGCAAGAAGTAATAATCTGAAATAGACAGGTACCCACTATGCCATTATTAATTATTGAGTGGAGAATCGAAGTACCTGAAATGCATCTGTGAGACATGATGTGCACTACTGAGGCTGTGGCTGATAGAGATAAGGCTGAGCCCTTCAGTCAGAAGCTTTAAATTACCGACTCGTTGCGCAATTCACTTTGTGTGGTGCCTGTTTTTTTATTTTACTTCATTGCAGCGCATTGGTTGTGGTACGTACGAATCCTGTTTTGTCCTGAACATTTTTCTCTTATTGTGTGCGATACCGGTCACCGAAAACAACTGCGGCAGCGGCGGACTACAACGCTGCCATCGCAGCCTTCGCTGTTAAGCACTGACAAAGTATTCTTAGCTTTTGTTCGTAGACATTGGTGTGCGAACAGCGGGATGCAATGCGGGCGGCCGCCACCTTCCCGGTGTCTCCTAAACGGGGGGCTCCTTACATCGACTTCCCCCCCTCTCCCGTCCTCCCCTTTCCATAAAGGGTCATCCTGCGTATACGCTTATGCTTGCCGACGTGCGTTTGCGTCTGGTCATGTGAAAGTCTTCTAGAGCCGTTTCATTACTCAGTGGACCTTCCAATGTTCTCTTCTGGGCTCTCGATGTAGACTTCTTACGTTGATATGTGGAATCAAAACACGTCATGCACGCGAACATTCAGGGACATTCTGGAAATATTAGCCAGCATGTCCGGACCTTGAAGAGGAGAGCTCTCTTCTGGTGCAGTGCACATGAACTTTCTAAGGTGTCATTGTAGTTGGGTTTACGGGAGTGCCACACATGTTTGATAAAATATTACATTTTGTGGTCTGTGTCCACTACTTCTGCAGTTCAGGGGTTCAATTAGTAAGTTTTGAGATGTAGCTGCTCAATTTAGTTTTAAATGCTTGAAAAGTTTTTCGGCCTTGTTGCACAGACCAAAAAAAAAAAATAGCTGAAATTTTCAGAAGCCAAGCCCCTTTGTCGAACATTTCGACTTCGGCGAGATAGCTTTTCTCAATGCACTGTTAGTTCGATTTTCATATTGATGCACAATTTCTCCCTATTCATAGTGCCATGTATTACTAACAAGCTCGTCACTTAGCTAGCTTCGTTGCAACATTCTTTTGAACATTACCGAAAAATCTGCATCGAAATTGGTTAACGAATACTCTAGTCACTAACATTAACGTGCGCTTGAGAGTGAAAGGCCCGTCAGTTGAGCCATGCATGTATATCTTAAATCCACAAGCCTTAGCAGTTGTTCTAAAGAACGTTTGTATACTTCGTTTTGAAAATGAGATAATCGATGCATCGCATCATTGTATAATGTAACGTGAAATAGAGGATGAAATTTGCACTTAGCCGAGTCAGCAGTGCGTCCGGAAGCGTGGGGGCTACATGTTTCAGCTCGGGCCCCATCATGTTCGGTTTCTAGTGGTTTTGTCGCAGCCTATAGCGTATGTTGAAATTAGAGCCACTCATTTTTTTATCTCCCTATTTGTTGCATACAATGTGGCGCATAAGTCAATACCAAGGCACAACTTAGCTAGGCACCACTCCAGGAACTTGTACCCTTAAGTCGGGGAAAATAAAAAGTTGAAATCATTCGTACTTACTCATGAAATATTATCTTGCGATTTGGGTTCACTCGGACCCACTCACCAAAGTTTTCCCGAGACGCACTCATGCGGACTCACACTTGCCAATATTTTCTTCCACCGTACTCATTCGCACCCAAACTGACCGAAATGTTAGAGACCAGGACTCACTCAGACTCAAACTCACATCTCGATGTGACCGCCGTATTCTAGAACGCCCCTTCACTCAACGTTTCACCTTAACTTGAAAAAGTCCATGGAAGCGCCGTCTTTTGGCAGACCAAATAACTGCATATCGGCAATATTCTGCAACGATTCTTCAGAATCACAGCGTCAATTTCAGTCGAGCAGTGGCGCAGTGCTCAACTCGTTCAAGTGAAGGACGAAATTCGATTCGAGGAGCGTTTGTGAATACGAGGGTGGGTTTTGAGTGAGTCCGAGTGAGTCGACTCATGCACCGACCAATTACGTTCGCTCGTTTCTGTGACATCCGTGTATAAACTGAGCTTTGGCTGTTCGAGAAGGTTAACGGTTGGGCTGCTGTCACTGGCAGGACCAAGATCCCGCAGCTATGGGAGGGGCCGTGGCCGCCACCGCCAAGAAGACCCTGAAGATCCGCTACTGCTTCCTGCCCTACCTCTACACCTTGTTCTACCGCAGCCACGTGTTCGGAGAGACGGTTGCCCGGTCTCTGTTCTTCGAGTGCGTGCCAAACATATCCTTTGGGCCATATGGGGTCGAAACCTCCAAACAATATCGAGGTATTGAGATTAAAATATTTTCCTTGGCTCAACTCGAGATGTGCCAACATATTTGTAAGAAAGCTTCATCGACGCCCGACGCAAATGTTCTTGGTCAAAGGTGATAGATGAGGAAGAGGTATATGAATTTTTTGTTATTTAAAGAATAACAAGCTTCGGTGCAGATTTTAACGATTGTCTTTCATTATCTTCCTGTTATATATCTGGCTGTTTTAATGATCTTTTAAGCTGTTCAAATGACGTAATGTTGCCAAGAAGGTTCCAACGATGGCCCTTTGCTCTAGTCCAGGCAATAACTTTGTCATAATACTGGTAACGTACTTGACTTGTAACTGCAAAGTAGTTGCCGCAGCTTTCGAAAGCGCCGAGGAGTAACTGGACAAAGCAGTTAGGTTATTCTTACATGATTATGTGCAGGCATTTTGACAGAATGGCCCACTCTGATGAAGTTGTGATGGTGTCACGGTCACTTTGTACAGAAAGGTGTTGCCATGTCAAACTATCATCTGCAATCGGTATAGTGCTGAAATATACGCGAAACTTTAAGGTAGAGTTATCTAACGGCCTTCAGTAGACGTACAACCTTCGCGGCACTATGGCCAGTTTCAGATAACGCATATCTTTAGGCCGCTGTTGTAACGCTGTTCACCATAAGTTGGTGTCTCATCTAAGATATCCGTTAAATCGCAACCTTTTTAAGCCTTGATTCAGAAAGGTTGCATAAATTGGAATCGCATGCGATGATTAGCGTCTGCTTCATCTCCACACACTTCGGTGCTGCGCGCAGGTTCCCAAAGGATGTCAACACGTATGCCGTGGACACGCAGTTCTTGTGGGGCAGCGCCCTCCTGGTCCTTCCCATCCTGGAGCCGGTTAGTGGAATTCATGAAAGATTTTTCGCGTGGTCTTTGTGCCCAAGTGTGACATGAGATCAACTCTGTCTTCCTAGTAATTGGTATCTCTGACTTCACTTTCATCTCAAAGAAAGCTTCTCGGCAGGGAACTTTGTACTTAAGAGTGAATTTCATGCTATATGTCCATCTATGACCACGAAAGTTATAGTTAAGCGTTCTACGAATGCGACTAGGATCACTATGTACATAGTAGTGCGTCTTTCTAGACAAAACCAACATCTCTGCTCCAACAAGAGTGCCGAAGTCATGTCAGACCATGGGCTACCCCTTACCTTCCAGTGCAGGTGACGTGTCTCGCAAGCTCGTAATATCCGCATAACTAATAAAGTTACACATACACGTCGATCCAATTTAACGTTTACCTTAAAACAGAAACATGGATGATCCCTTCGTCACAGGACTTAATATAAGGCCAAATAAAACGCGTCTCTATAGAAGTAGGTAAATATTTCAGGCTTATAGATATCAAAGACAAAGTCCCTGTTTGACACATGTAGCGCCGTTGAACTAAAGCTGCTATACTTCGCAAAAGTTCCACCATCTGCTCTCCCTCTCGCCTTTCGCTTGCGACAGTGGCGTCCCCTGTAACACGCCACGAGCTTGCAGTATGCTTTCGAGCCGATGAGAGGAGGAAGTGGCACAGATCAAAAGAACGCTGTTCTTTTCGAGTATCACCATCTGCTCTCACTCTCGTCACCTCCTCTCCAGCGCGTTGCTTTTTTATTTCGCTTACGACAGTGTGGCGCCCCCTGTAACGCGCCACGAGCCTGCAGTTTGCTTTCAAGCTGGTGAGATGAGGAAGCAGCGCAGATCAAAAGAATGCTGTACTTTTCAAGTACCACCATTTGCTCTCCCTCTCGACGCCTTCTCTCTAGCACGTTGCTTCTTTTTCTTTCGCTTGCGACAGTGGCGCCCCCTGTACCGCGCCAAGAGCACGCAGTATGCTTTCCAGCCAGTGCGAGGAAGGAGCGGCACAGATGAAAAGAACTCTGTAGTTTTCAAGTGCCGCCATCTGCTCTTCCCCTAACCGCCTCCTCTCCCGCGCGTTGCTTTTTTTCTCTTTCACTTGTGACAGTGGCGCTCCCTGTAACGCGCCACGTGCTTGCAGTTTGCTTTCGAGCCGGTGAAAGGAGATAGCGGCGCAGATCAAAAGAACGCTGTACTTTTTCGAAGGTATAGGGGCTTTACGTTTAACGGGTGTGCACCAACGTTCCACGTTGACGCTGGGTTGGAGATCCTCGTATACCGATGGCTAATGTTGATGATAAATGATTGAACAAACCTTTCTGGCCATAGGTGCTTAGGTTAAATGTAGTAGTTAACGGTGACTGTGGAATAAGGGAAAGCGGCCTGACAGCCAGGAGAGCATGCTTGGATGCCGAGCTTAGACCAAGCTCACCTACTGGCGGCTTGTTATTGGACACCAGTGTCCGAAAAGAACGCGCGGGGTGCCTTCCCTGTTGCACGAGATGGGCGTAATTGGGAACGCGGAGTTACAGCTAGGCGAAGCAGGCGTGCGTCGCCGAGCTATTTTTAGTATAGATGGGTGGTATGAGCGAGGCCGACATATTGAGCTCCTTTTCGACGCTTGGACTGAGGTCGCCACCTGACCGTGTGTCAAGGCATCGAAAGAGTTGCACATCTGTTGGAAACATGCCGAATCGGACGGATGCGTTGAAACGACGTTTTGAAGGAGCTAATTGCGGATTGTCACACTCCTGATCTGTTACTTCAAGTTATCAAGAGCACTGTAAGAGGACAGTGCTCTTGAGGGTGTTATTGGGCACCACGTCCGGCATCTGTTGTCGTGGATCGAGATGTCGTGGATCGAGATGTTGCGGAGCTGTTTTTTTTTTTTCAATCTGATCGTGTGTATTTATTTGTCATTTACGCAACAGAAACAGGTCAGTGATGGACCCCGGCATAAAGGACACTTGTGTTGAATAAAGCTGGCATATGGTGCTACTTGCTGGCAGCGTCGCGAGAAATGGACTGCCACAATACGTGGGTTCTGTCCCAGTTTTGTTGTACGTGTAGTCCGTGCCGAACACTGACACCGGGTAGACGTAGGATGAACTGCTGCAAGGAACCAATGATTGCAGTGGTCCAGATTACAGTGGTTACAGAAGTTCATGTTTATTAATGGGAGGCCTATGCAGAGTAGGCATTACTAGCATTTCTTACGTACAGTGAATTCTCGTTACAGTGACAAAGGGTTGAGCTGCCAAGGAGATAAAGCCATAGGCGGCCAAACCATCATGCCGCGCTCCGTTAGTCAAGTTGTGGGACATGCGTTCCTTCAAGGAATTCCTCGTGCTGTGGTGTCCTATGTTATGTTACCTGAGCATGTTACTAGAATACACCGCAACGTGTCCAAACCAAGTACCGATCTTTGGCTTTCAAGCAAGAGTGACAAATTTTGTAAGATACAAACTTGGTCTATAGCCTGGAAGGAAACTTGTGATCAACAGGTTCTTGACCACTGCATGCCCAGTTCTTTGGCCCAACTCGTTGTGGCTTTGCAGAACTCAACGAGCGTGAAGCCTTACCTCCCCCGCGGCATCTGGTACGACGTGATGCTGGGCCTGCCCTACCACAGCGCCGGCGAAGACTTCCAGATGTCGCCACTCAACGACTCCATCTGCCTGCTCATTCGCGGTGGTCACGTGGTGCCCTCGCAGGAACCGGCGCAGACCACTGCCGCCAGGTACTTGGGGACACTGGGCTGTACAACCGGCTATAAAAGCCACCCGCCACGTCATTGGTCATGGATGCCACCCTTTTCTCTCTCCTCCACGTCTTTAATAGCCCCATCCGATTCCCATACAGGTGACGAGTCGTGCCACCAATTAGGGCTGCAGAAGCTGCGTCTTTTTCTTTCCTCTACCTCTTCTCGTCCTATTTTGCTCCAAGTCTCTTGTGAATCTTACTGTACGATGAAATGCTTTTTATTTGAATGAGAAGAGACCTTCAACTGGGTGGATATTATGGAACTAGATTACATAAAAAATCGGAACTTTACGCGTAGCGTGGGGAAGAAGAATGATCGACTAGAAAGATAAAACGCAAACTTTGTGTTGGCAAACATTGGCAACCACTTTCAACTAATTACCCAAAAACTTGCAATGGGTTTTCAGGTCGTCTATTCATCCTCTTCGTTTATCTCGCTTATATTTTATTGTATCTTTGCTGAAGCGCTTTGGTGTTCTCACTGTGCATAAAGTGTACAATTTACGCAGTGAGATTTCCTGCTGATGGAGCCAGTGAGCACCGTTGTTCGGTCGCAAGCGCTATGCATAGCCTTGACAATAATTGATATGTGGGGTTTAACGTCCCAAAACCACCATATGCTTATGAGAGACGCCGTAGTGGAGGGCTCCGGAAATTTCGACCACCTGGGGTTAGCCTTGACAATAAAGAGCAGTGTAACACTCACTGCAGTAAAACAAGCGTCGCAATGGTCTCGTCACTGCAACGAGGCTTTCTCGAACTTATTAGTAAAAATCTTTGTATTTTTCGTGAGCTGTGGACCTTTAACCAGCTAAGGCGAAATATACTATTATGCGCCATTTCCGCGCCCATCACAGTGCTAAAGCAGGACATACATCTTTCGACGTATTCTCAGCATCACAATGCCAATTATTATATAATTATGGTTGCTACATGTCAGATACTGCAAAACCTCTGGCTTTGTCAGATCCACCCGTGAGATCAGAACAGAAATAAAACGCTACCGTGAAGAGTGTTTAGCACAACGCCGGTCTTTTTGTGTAGGCAGCCTAAATTGACCTAGTCAGGCGTATTTGCAGTCGACTCAAGCCGTTCAACCTCCTCGTGGCTCAAGACCATGACGGACTGGCGACGGGCGAGCTCTACTGGGACGACGGAGAGTATGTCGGTAAGCATGCAGTTCATTTAGCTTTCCCGTCTCACTTCTTTACTTCTCATCGCAGAATATTTTACAGCGCAAATTTTAGACACAGCGCTTAACTCACAACTGAAATTTATCTGGAAAAGAAAGGAACACATATTTTTTTATTGAGACAAGATAAGGAAGCCTGTGTGTATGTCTGTTTTGATTTGAGAAAATGTATGCGTGTATTGCCTGTATTCATATAATTCGTTTGTTTCTTATCTTTTTTTGCTGATTGATTGATTAATTAATTTGTGGGGTTTAACGTCCGAAAACCACTATATGATTATGAGAGACGCCGTAGTGGAGGGCTCCGGAAATTTAGACCACCTGGGGTTCTTTAACGTGCACCCAAATCTGAGTACACGGGCCTACAACATTTCCGCCCCCGTCGGAAATGCAGCCGCCACAGCCGGGATTTGATCCCGCGACCTGCGGGTCAGCAGCCGAGTACCTTAACCACTAGACCACCGTGGCGGGGCTTTTTTGCTAACCGGTACATCCATTATACACATTGTATTGGACAGGTCTCTAGCCACTTAAGGCTCTCAGTCCAAAGTTTTCTTGTATATTTATTCTTTTTCATTAGAAAATAGTTAAATTGACTGATTGATTGATTGATTGATTGATAGGAAACCTGCTAGACAACACTTGAATCATGTTGTGTTGTAATACTTGTGCATATGCGCACAGTTTTGATGAACCAATGTTTCATATATATGCTTCCTTCCTTTTCTAAATAAATTTCGTTTTTGAATTCAGCGCTGTGGCCCTTCACTGTCCGTACCAAAACGTTGCGCTGTAAAATATTCTCCGATGAACATCCACCAACTCGCCCGACTCGCGATTCTTTACTTCTGCCTGCCTGCGCAGTATATCGATTTTTTTTTTTGTATGAAATTCCTTGTCTGCAGAGAAGTATTGCGTCAGTCTGCTCAAACACCGCACAGAATAATGGCATTCCTGCGAAGTATGACACAAAATCGAAAGTGGTTCGTGTCTATAGACAATGAGAATTAGTGCGAAAAATGTAGAAAGAGACAACCGAACTAAGAGGAGTCTTACAACCAGTGCTATATGTGTATAAGACGGCACTAAACGCCTATGAAAGGATCTAAGGCAAAATACGAGAATTGTTAGTCGGAACGCCTCCAAACGTATCTGCGTACAAGGTATGTGTCACGAGGTGTCCGACAAGAACTGTTGCACTCAGGTTTTCTCCTCAGGTATTTGTTGCATTACACAGGGCTCTTACTTTACAACTGATCTAATGAAATAACAAACAGTTTCCTATATAAATTAAGCATCGAGTCCAATTCATCGTGCATTTTGGTACCAGTTTCCAACTGTAGCTTGGGTCACTTAAAACTAAGTGTTGTGTATCACTTCGTCAACAACGAGTGACGATATTGACAACGTAAAAAACAGGCTCCTTCATAATCATAATGTCAAGGCTGAAGGATATGTTCGAATTTGCTAATACCATGGCACCTTACACAATTCGGGACACTGACGTTCAGTAACATAAGCTATTTTGTTCCTGGTCTCTCGTGAATCTTACTGTATTCGCATGCGATTGTGCTGCTGACAGTGAGTAGATAAAGCTCAAAGATTGCTAGTCGCAGTACTAGTTGTGTGGATCGCAGTATCAGTTGTGTGTTTACTGCATTTAAAGAGCCTGTACACACCTCTTGCTGGTGGAAGAAGCTTCATAAAACTCTGGTGCCTGCTTTATTTGTAACTCACGTATTTCTTACGATACAAATAAAAAAGTGGAGGAGCGTGTTCTATCGTATCAACATGGTTATTCAGCCCATCAGTAGTTTGAACAGAAGTTTTAGAAGTGTTTACTTGATGCAATAAATATAGATCACTTACAAACCACGATCTCAGTGGGTCCTGAATCTTTACTTTTCTAGGAAAATTAGATGTGATGAATACGATGCAATTAGTTAATGTATCAGCGTGTCTATCATTTACTAAATATATACAAATAGTATTTGTCACACTCCTACTACATTACGTATTCAAAGCTAGCCAATTTCCGATTACATTGCAGGTTCCTACGAAAGGGGAGAGTACAGCCTCATCAAGTTCGTCGCGGTCAAGGTGAGAGCGTCGGTCTATAGAGGCGCTCAAGAGTGCCGCAAAAGTCTGTCGTCAGCGCACCGCTCAACCCGCAGAGCATGGACGGGTTCGCGGAGATTCCAAGCGTCCGCCACCCTAAGGCTCTCCCCTTCCGTTGTTTACCCGTACTCGTTAGCGTTTTCGAGTCGAGGAGAGCACATTAGTCGGCGGCTTTCAGTGTTCACTGGCCTAGCTGCGTATTTTGGGTTTGTTAGTATGATAATAATGAAGCTTTTAGCGCAAAATGGGCACGGGTAGGCGTGAGAGACACACGGGTACGTTCTCGTGCATATTCAGTTCTGTGATCGCACGTGTTAACCACTTCGCTTTGCGTTTTTCGTTTTGACCTGCCCGTGCATTCCTTTAGTGAGTGCATTTCCGTGACGGAAATGACGTTAGTCAGTTCTTCGCTAACCCCGACACAACGGACGTTTGTCTTGAAAATGGCGAGTGTCCGGGCTCCCACATTGGAGCATGCCAAACCTCCATTCGTTAGCACCTGCTAAGAAATGTCAAGTAGCACCTTCGCTTTCGTACTCTTGAATGAACATATGTTAGTACCTTGCTGTGACCATATCCCATAAATATAACTGAGTCGAAAGTGAGAGGAGTCAAAGTGGTTGTAAGATTCATACATAGGAGAGCTTCCATGCACTCTCTTCACCAGCACGCGGCGTAAATGGGGCCCTCGTATGCCTCGTTAGCTTGCAACAGTAATTCTGCGTCCTCTGTCGCACGCAGAACACGGTGGTGAGCATGTGCGTGCACTGCGGCTACGACAGCATCATGCTGCTGAACGCCGTCACCGTGTACGGAGTGACGGAGAAGCCCCGGGAGGTGCACTTCAACAGGCTGCCGACCAACTTCACCTACAACCCGGCCGGACAGGTGGGCGGGCATTGCGTTTGGACGCAGCTGCCTACTGCGAGCACTGCTTAATGGACTCGTGTCCTCGGGATGCGCACTGCAGGCAAACCGGATGTCAGTTCATCGTGATGACTGGACGGCCCGTACTATAGCATTTGAGATTCTTTTCGTTTCATTGGACGTCCATAGATATCAGCGTCGAATGACACCCGAACAGCGACAAGCCTTCGCGATGCTACATATAGCGCTCGCCGTCCACTGATCGCCATTTACAGACGCTCGCATCCTGTTCGGCAGCTCTGCGCATATCCGTGGTGTCTGTCCATGGGATCTTGGCATCGAGATCTTGGCAGATTGTAATTCCTCCACTTCAGTAATGGACATAGCGTCGCACTCTGTGATAATTGCTCATTCTAAGTTAATGGCTGAAGCTCTAGACCTGCGTGCATCGAATATTGCCAAGGTAAGCATGAGTGTGCGTTTATTGCGAAGAAACTCTTGTCTTTCTTTTTTGAAGTTTATTTCGCTGTGAACAAGACCCCGCAGCGGGACCAAGACATCTTTGTTAAAGATCGGTCAGGGCCTGATTTCGCCGCCGTGAGCTTTCTCTATCAGGAATCTTAGCTTGGACTCTCATTAGTTGAAAATAATATGTTACGCCCCATTAATATCGACTAAACGTTCTAGTCGTACATTCTTCCAGCACTGAAAATTTCGTTTATTCCTTTCTATTGCAGTTCATGAAGGCGTCGAGGCTACATTACCAGCTGACGAAGCCGTTTGTTCTAACGTGGAACCGATGAAGAGTCGTTTCGTGCGCCAGTGTCGGGGTTTGAATAAACTTCTGTGCACACTCCCACCATGTGAAATAAATGCTTCAAGCAGTTCAGACGTAGGGAAGACATTCTGAAAGGCCCTATGTAGTGGCCATGTCAAATTACCGTGGAGAGCATCCAGCTAGTCGAGAAAACGGATGATCATGACGTCATGGCACTCTTGACCAGGCCGACGCGCCAAACTCGCATAACAGATTTCCAGCGTTCGAGAAAAGTGCACGAACAGTGCAGGTACAGAAGACCATGTACATCTCATATGCACTTAAACAGGGCAGGGAATATGTAACAGACTGTAACCGATGCTGTGAACGAGGGGTGACATTACGCTTGATGTGAAGGCTGCCATGGCTGTGTGGTGTGCCTAATTGTTTATTTCCCGTCTTGATGATGTTACCATTTTGCAATAGATTTCTCTACACACTTCCCTGTCTCTCTCTTGATATACGCTGGCGATGTACGTGGGGCCCACGGGACTGCTTTTAGATCTCCCATAGCAGAGTACCGAGTATTCTAAATCGTTAGACAGTTTTTCTAAATACACAAAAACGAATCTAGTTCGCAATTATAATCTTTTTGCATCAATGAAGAGCCTCAACGTTTCAGGAACATGAATGAAATTAGTTGCAATTACCTCAAGCAAAGCATTAAGGATACTCAAAGGGATCTTATATATTGAACGTGCATGTGCAGCTGGTTAGTTTGCGCAGCTGTTTTCCGCGACTGGTTTACAGGCTCCTTCACCCCTAAACAATATCGATGAGTATATTTGTTGTGCGCTTTCTAGATTCCATACTGATTTTCTTCTTGTCAGAAGTATAAATGCTCACGAAGCAGCTTAGAAACACCACAGACAATTATGTTGTTCATTTGTAAAGCACGCACAAGTACTTTGCATGAGACGCATCTTGCACGTTTTGCAGAAGAACTCGATGAATTTAAGACTTCCCGTTTCTCAGTCCCACTCCTCTTCCAGTTCCTTTCTGTCTCACGTTCAGGGGGCATTCGGTGCGCTCACTTTGACGCCTCGATATTACTTTCCCTTACTGCTGCTCGATATGGTCGCTCTGAAGCTTTATTGTGTTGTTTGACGCTAGGTTGACCATTATTTGAGGCAGAAATGAACGACCCCATATAGCTGCATACGCTGGGAAGCACTAAATAAGTGGTTTCGTCTTCGACAAAGTTCCTACAGCCGACACTCCACCTCCTCCGAAACGGAGAAGGATCAGTAATATAAAGCTCACTTCTCATGGAGCGACGCACAACGAACTCCTTCCAATGTGTCAAGGGAATCAACTCTGTAATTACGAAGACTCCTTACATGAGAGCTCTTACGTAGGGCGCTTCTATCGAAATGTGTTAGTTAGGCCTGTACAAGAGGGTACAGTCACCCCTCACTCTACCAGACCACATGCTCAAGCGGCCCTAACCTTTCAGCGAAAAGGCGCGCTGTTATGAGCTGTCGGCAGCGTTTACTTGTTTTTCGCATCTGATGATGATTATAGTGTTCTTGTTAATGATGATGATGATTTAGCTCGGAATAATATTCACTGAAATTGTATTACGTCCCATGCAAACTGACAGAACGTCGCGGTGCGCGCTCACAATGATGATGATGATGATGATATGATGATGATGATGACAACCTCTGTGTATGGCTCACGTCAACTCGGGGGGGGGGGGATCAGCCAATAAAGAAATAATTTACTGGTAAAAGTGATCACATATGAATGGTATGACTAAATGATTTTTATAAAGCTTGTAATTCATTCATGACGTTAATTTAAACACTTGTGATCGAGAGCGTCCTCATTCGTTGAAAACTTTACTACCGCGGAGTAGATACCCCCGTGACAATGACCTAACGAGGAGGCGCTCAATGATAGAGTACTTGAAATAACGAAAACCCAATCTTATTCGGTTAATCACCATTTATAGAGTGTTTCTCCTCAGTGTTGCATGATAACAAATTTGCTCGATTGTTTCGTTCTTCTTACAAGGCGAGCAAAAATGGGATGGAGCCAGACCAACTGTGTACATACAATAGTTTAATATTGCAGCGCGAAAGCGTACTTTTATGAAAATAGCTTCCTCTCTTCATAATGAAATTCTAACACTGGCAATA